CTTCATTACCCATTCAAGCCGTCTCCAGCCATTGTTAATGAGTATATTTACTTATATTCTTTACAACTTAATAAGCGGAAACGTAAACTGGATCAATCTTACCTTTGCAGGTGCATGGAGTCGTTGGCCAGCTAGTAAAATTATACATCACTCACTGGCTACGAATTCCGCTTCTTTTCTTTACGTGTCTTTTCATCGTTCTTTTTATTTTGCTCAGTATTATGCATTTTTGTAACTAGTTTGCGGGAATGTCCGCCAGGATCACAGAAGTTGGTATGTTCACTAGCTTCTTTTTTGCTTCTCTGCTTTCCGCTGTGTCCTGAATACATATATTTATCTTGGTCAAAATTGTAATGCTCGTATTCGTCAAAATGACTTTCAGACATTTTCAACGTTTCACTGGAAATTTCTTTCAAGAATAATACCTTTACACCGCTTCTTACTATGAATATAACAGACAACGAACAAGTCAACAACCACAACTACACAAACGACGTTCTTATATATATATATACAAGATGACGTCATAAATTCCTAGACCGGTTGTTAAAAATTCGGAATGACTGAGTATAAATAATTATTAGAAACGGCACGCAATTCAATAAAAAACAGTTTATTTTTCGCTATTAAAAAGGTTTTGTTTTTAATCCTAAAATAAACCAAAAACAAAAGTGAATATTAACAGCCCCACCTATTAGCACTTATGTGTAAAAGTGTGGTAATTTTTCAGTTTATTACAAAAAGTACAATTATAATTAAGTCATTTCAGATTAAAAAACATATAAAATTAGCCACTCACAACAAAATTTATTTTTAATCAAGTAATAATTTGCTTAAAGTTACATTTTGAGCGCCGAAAACTTGCAAAGCATAGGAAGCGATTAAGCTTAATATTTTGTTTTTTTACGACTTAAAATTCGAAAACAAGAATCTTGATATTAAACTTGAATTATTATACTTTTTTCTTCTTAACTACAACATAATTTCTAAAGTGAGATTTATTAAAAATTAGGAAAATAATAATTTATGAGTATATTATTACCTTCAAACTGTTAATAATGTAATTAATTTAGTTATTTGAAAACAAACTTTTGGAAGTAATAGGTGAATTTCTTTATTTTTCACATAAAGTCGTAAAATTCATGTTTTTTGTGAAACTTTTCCAACGACTTTATAAGATTCCTTGATGTTTATTGCGTGAATCATTACTTGACTGTCATTATTAAAGGTTTGATAGTCCCTCTTAATTGATAGAACGTGGTAATTAATTTAATTCTTGAAAGCCGAAGTCAAATTAAGGCTTCATTATTGTATAATTAAAACAATATTTTTTGTTTTGTACATCACAACAATTAAATTACGAAATTTAATGATTTACGAACTTTTATGTTTATACTGGCATAAAAGCCTGTCAAAAATTACGCGAAACAAAACCGACTTAAGAAAAATAAAGAGACTTCTAGTTTCGGGAAACCAAAGCCTATCGTAGTCAATATCTACTTTACCTAAAGAGTGTAAACATGCTACATATTGGTGCCTTTGGATAAAAGATTAAAACATACGATGACCATGTGATTGCATACACACCTGTTCTTTTTCTGAGGTAAAGTCGTCCTCTTCCCTACAGATAATTGGTATCTTCAGTCTGTTTTAACAAAAGCCTTTTCGCAATAATACCCAAGCATATATTTGCGCTAATTTTTGACTTACTTTTCATAGGAGTCTTCCCGGCTTTCCTATTTAGATCCTATTTAGTTTGACGTCATAATGATGTGGATGATGTGGTGTCACACACATAACGCCATGCTTGATCTGGTCCTGGGAACTCCCTTCTTGATACACTTTTATATAGCAGAAAAAAAAAGTGCCGGAATTTAGGAGATATTTACGCCTATGTTAGCGATTAAATTAAACTAAAATTAGAACAAGCAATCAAAAGAGGAAGTATTATAGTAGAAAATTGGAATTGGACTCGTGTAACTCACGCAATTTGGAGAAATCGAGCGTGACCGACTGACACTTGGCTTTTATATATATAGTGGTGATTTTGTGCTTTTTACGAGGGTAGCATGAATACAAGTGGGGTACGATAAGTAATATATGGATGTCTCGTCACTTCCAACATGTCTGACACTATATACAACACACAGCTATTAAAACAACTATGAATATGGATGTCCTGTCACTGAAATTTTCATAGCTTCCCTTTTTTTTCTTTTGTTCTGTTTAGTAAGATTTGAAATATAAAGTTAAATCACAAGGAAAATTTATTTTAAAGTTTTGGTTTTATACTGTATATTTAAAGAGCGTTTCGAAGATTCTGATATCGAATTTAAAATGGAAAAAATAAGAGAAATATGATTACAAAAATCCGCTGTTTACGTTATTTGAACATAACTTTTAAGCCTTTTGTTTGTTTCACTTGGACACCATCTCTGTTATATAATTTCTGCCAGTTTAGATTTATACTACACTGCTAAATACATGTTACGTCTGTGGTCGTTTATTACTTTAATAAAATAGAGGGCGCCTGGCAGACACTCGAGCCTTCACGAACGTTCTAGATACTCATTACGTGTTACCAGCGTCACGTGAATTCCGCTGTCGTAACATAAACATATTAATATAACAATGCAAGACAATCTGTAATAAAAGTGTGATAATAAAAAATAAGTTTAAACAGTAATAACATACATATATTAAACAGTTTAACCACTACTATTAATGGAAGTATAATGATGATATCCTGCATGTTTCGGGTAAGCGGAATGTCTATGGACTTGTTACGCTAAAATCCGAGGTTCAATTCCCGCGCCCAACAAAGTGTAGATAGCCCTCGTAGAAGTTTATTTCTGGTTGTTACTGGATCAAATAGATCCGGGAGGATCAGATACACACTGGTCCTTTACCCTCCCCCACCCCCCTGGCTGTTGTTGGTTCATATCCGATAACTTGGAAAATCTATTTCAACAGCATTCAGCTACTGAAAACAAACAACGAAGCCACACAGTGAGTTTATATAAAATGGGGAGGAGAAATTTTAATATTATTCTCAGTACACTAAAACATAAATTATTTAGTTTTTCTTCCCCTTAAACTAACAGAAAACCCCCATATCTTGCCACTAAATCCATCCGATGAAAGGACTTCTATTATTTCAAACTCTAGTATTAGCCTTACATTTTTGCCCACGTTCGACAAAACAGAGTCTGGGTTTGGTTTTCCTTTCGGTGCCAGCTCTACATAGAAAGATGTCATCTCTGTCGCTTCTCTTATCCAAAAGCTCTACTCACAGCTGTTAGCGTTTTCCTACCATAAACAAGCTCATTTGGCGCCAAATCTGTGCCTGAAATTGTGTATAGTCTGTCTCTTCCCTTATGGCTGACGTCATATTTATAAGTTATTTTTTTGTAAAGACAAAAACAAATTGCTTCGAAATAGTAATTGAAATGAGTAGTGTAGTTATGTTGGTAAAATTATATATTTAATTTAGGTTCAAACTTAGCCTGTTTCGCAGGAAATCTAAATTTTCACTTTTGAGTGTTTAAAATAATCAACCAGTATCGCAGCCGAGAACCAAAACAATTCTTGTACCTATTATTTAGTCATGTCTTGCAACGTTTCGCAGACATACCAGAAACGGTAAAACCTGTATTGTTTTCAGGCCTATGTGTATCCAGGATGTTACAGGTGTGGATATACATGCAGACAAGATTCAGAAAATTGTCTTTCAAATAAACCTCAGGGGGTGTTTGAGGAACTGGGATGGATGAGTGGAAGAACTCGATGGTGTAAGAAGATGCTAAGTCTGTTTAGGAGTTTCAATACCAGACATTCGGGGAGCTCCATAGCCTCGGTATCAGCATGTGACAAATAAAATAGGGCCAAATCCTACAGTGTAGAACGTTTGGATGAAAACGAATTGTACGAGATTTTTCGTCGTAAGAAAAAAACCAAACATACTTAAGTTTAACACCTAATCTACACATACGTGTTCAATGGTACATGCTCTGGATTGAGTATGGTCGAGGACTTCAGTCTGTGTGACAGGATGGTATTGATGCAAGGTTGAAACTAGGGTACACATGTTACATCTCTCTTACTGACATGGACATGCAAAATAGACCAAAGAAACATTGGAACAAGTTACTCATGCCATCTGTATTTCTAATGGCTGACACTAATATGTTATTTTCCAAAAACTGTGTCGTCGTCTAATTTTATAAAAAAAAAAGCAAAATTGAAAAATTGTAACAATATTTTCAGTTCTTCCATATTTGAACATTAAATAAAAAGTTGATCTGATAAACCATTGCATGAGATTTGTTTTCCCTTGAGATAACAATACTTCGTCTTGTATAATGTTTCACTACCTCTAATTTTCTCTCACATTTGATCAAATGCATAAGACTAGAATTACAAATTAAAATTTAGTTATACTGAATCATCAACCAGGAATTTGACAGAACTTCTGGCCAAAAGAACTCAGCCATACGTCAGAATCTCTGATAATGAAGAAACTACTCAGCCATACGTCAGAATCTCTGATAATGAAGAAACTACTCAGCCATACGTCAGAATCTCTGATAATGAAGAAACTACTAAGCCCATACGTCAGAATCTCTGATAATGAAGAAACTACTAAGCCCATACGTCAGAATCTCTGATAATGAAGAAACTACTCAGCCATACGTCAGAATCTCTGATAATGAAGAAACTACTCAGCCATACGTCAGAATCTCTGATAATGAAGAAACTACTCAGCCATACGTCAGAATCTCTGATAATGAAGAAACTACCCAGCCATACGTCAGAATCTCTGATAATGAAGAAACTACTCAGCCATACGTCAGAATCTCTGATAATGAAGAAACTACTCAGCCATACGTCAGAATCTCTGATAATGAAGAAACTCGGACAAATATATTCCTTTATAAACAAATGACAGGTTTTATGTATATTAAAAAAAAAGATGTACAAAAATACAGATGACTATCCTCTACTTACAATGGTACAACAGCTTCCTACTTGTGGTACAATACACGTGACTGTCTTGTACCAACATTGGTACAACAGCTTCTTACTTATGGCACAATACATATAACTGTCCTGTACTGACAATGGTACAACAGCTTCCTACTTGTGGTACAATACACATGACTGTCCTGTACTTACAATGATACAACAGCTTCCTACTTGTGGTACAATACACATGACTGTCCTGTACTTACAATGATACAACAGCTTCCTACTTGTGGTACAATACACATGACTGTCCTGTACTGACAATGGTACAACAGCTTCCTGCTTGTGGTACAATACACATGACTGTCCTGTACTTACAATGATACAACAGCTTCCTACTTGTGGTACAATACATAGGACTGTCCTGTACTTACAGTGGTACAATCGCTTCCTACTTATGGTACAATACATATAACTGTCCTGTACTGACAATGGTACAACAGCTTCCTACTTGTGGTACAATACACAGGACTGTCCTGTACTTACAGTGGTACAATAGCTTCCTACTTATAGTACAATACACGTGACTGTCCTGTACTGACAATGGTACAACAGCTTCCTACTTATGGTACAATACATACAACTGTCCTGTACTTACAGTGGTACAACAGCTTCTGCTTATGGTACAATAATGATGTTGGTTACGAGCTAATCCAATAAACAAATAGGATCATTGAATGACTCATGTGACCTTATCCAGATTTGTACTACATACAAGCAATGTACACATTTTGGTATAAAATGCATCATCTGTGGAGTAAAGAGTTTATCTGGAGGTGCCTCATGCAGAACTAGAAGTATCATCTGTGGAGTAAAGATAGTTTATCTGGAGGTGCCTCATGCAGAACTAGAAGTATATAAAAATTTGTAAGTTTGTAGGATACAAGACATCTGCAATAACCATCTATTTTTTCTTCTTTGTATTGTACTGATGAACACTGTTCCCTCTGAGTTTTTTCAATCAACGTGCAGAATGGATTTGTTCATCTGCACCAGTATCAAGGAAATGCACAAAGGTGTGATACAAGTTTTTTTAGGGGAGAGGGTATCTTTAGTTCATCGACCCTATTGTATCATTAGGCCACTTTGCAATACTACCAGTTGGTTATTTGGGTTTTAGACCTATTGAATGCCAGGGTCATCAACGTGTCATCACTTGTGCGGCCGTGCAGCTTAGGGGTAACGGTGATGGTGAGTTTAATAACTGTCTATTGATAATCCAGTAATTTGTCTGAAGTTAGAGCAAGTAAAAAATAAAAGGACACAGATTCATATTGACTTTAAAATAGTTTATTCCACAACCTCTATTCATACTTAAGTTTTAAAACCAGTAGGTAATAAAATTATTTAAATTAATGATCATGTGAATCAAAAGACACCACAAACAACATAATTTAAAAGTAAAGCAGATAAAGTATTTATTTAGAATAATTTAACCATAGCACACACACAGTTCATTCAGTTTCATACAAATTAAAAATACTTTAGCTGAAACTGTAACATATTTTGGACAATCGACTTAAAGTAATGAACCACAACAACCAACATGAGATTGATGGAAACATGTGAATACCATTCTAAGAAAATCTCAAGAAGATAACTTAAATCACTTTGGTTAGTTTTTACTCCAACAGAATGTCTGTTAGAGTTTTTTTAACAACACCTCTTTGGAAGTTATAAAACTCGCAGTGAAACTGAGAAATATAAAAAGTCGCACTGAGAACATAACATTAACAGAATTACCCCAAAAAATTCTTTCAGTACAAATCATTGAAGCTTTTGTTTATTTCAACCTGTCAAAGCTATACAATAACTTGAGAAAATCCAACAATATATTTAGTACAAAATTACACAAAATCTTTATGTCTAAATACTGTGTGAATTTTTTTACTAAGGATACTTTAAAGAGCTCGAAAAGCATGGATTAATACACTTAACATGATTTACAAAGAAATGTGTAAAACAGATTTCTGTAATTACAATCCAGAAGTTATATGAGCATACTTTTGACATATTATTAAAAGTTTATTTTGAGATCACGCATATCAGCGAGAGAAAAACTATCATAGTACAAGAGAAATTCAAACGATTTGAATTTTGTCACAGTGAAAGTTTCCTGAAAGTAATAGCTATAAACAAACTGTCAAACTATTAACTTTCTACGACTCCCAAACCCTAACTAGATTAACTGTTTTTCAAATTTCTATCAATTGTGTATATCAGATCCCTTTTTTTTTACAGGTCATTTTGAAATACTAGTCAAATAAGGCAGCCAGAAGCACCTACCAGCATAAAGTGTCGGGCTTTATTTGCTTGTTGTAAAGCACAAAGTTATCTATGCTCTCCCTACCGTGGGTATCAAACCTTGAATTGTGGCATTATAAGCCTATTGAATTTCTACTGAACCACTGGGGGTTTTTGTCTGACTCTTTAAACCAAATCACTGACTGTCAGTTCTAAAGCATGAAGTATGTATGTTCAGAGGCATGACATCTCAAACCTTGGACCATTCAAGGCATGACATCTCAAACCTTGGACCATTCAAGCCACGACATCTCAAACCTTGGACCATTCAAGGCATGACATCTCAAACCTTGGACCATTCAAGGCATGACATCTCAAACCTTGGACCATTCAAGCCACGACATCTCAAACCTTGGACCATTCAAGCCACGACATCTCAAACCTTGGACCATTCAAGGCACGACATCTCAAACCTTGGACCATTCAAGGCACGACATCTCAAACCTTGGACCATTCAACAATTTTGAAATGTATGTTCAGAGGCATGACATCTCAAACCTTGGATCATTCAAGCCATGCATGAATTCAACAATTCTGAAATGTATGTTCAGAGGCATGACATCTCAAACCTTGGACCATTCAAGCCATGCATGAATTCAACAATTCTGAAAATTAAAACCCTTACTGATATTTTTAATGTTAAAATTAACAGTACTACAATAACAAAGAATTGGTTAAGCTGTAAAGTTTTAAATTTCTATGTACTACGTTTACAAAACTTTCTTGGGTTTTGTAGCAGGGAATTAACTTTCTAATTTGATCAGCATTTTATTTGGATTAATAATCAACACATAACACTGCATCTTTGTGTTGGGTAACAGCAGATATAACTTTCTAATTTGATCAGCATTCCATTTGGATTAATAATCAACACATAACACTGCATCTTTGTGTTGGGTAACAGCAGATAATATTTTCTAATTTGATCAGCATTCCATTTGGATTAATAATCAACACATAACACTGCATCTTTGTGTTGGGTAACAGCAGATATAACTTTCTAATTTGATCAGCATTTTATTTGGATTAATAATCAACACATAACACTGCATCCTTGTGTCGGGTAACAGCAGATATAACTTTCTAATTTGATCAGCATTTTATTTGGATTAATAATCAACACATAACACTATATTGCAAACTTATTTTACATTTACTTATACAACACATGTTTGGAGTCTAAGTGAATAAAACCATAAACTTTAAGAAAAATGTAAAAAATAAAATTTTTGGTGAGAATTACATAAAGGATGTAAAATTTTCTTTCACAACATGACACATCATAGCCTTTTAAAGGTTATGTATTACAGGAATGACATGATGTAAAGGTTATGTATTACAGGAATGACATGATGTAAAGGTTATAATGTCATATAATCATAAGTGAAAAAAAATTATGAACAACATTAAGAAATACTATCAAAACTATGGTTACAATAACATTAAAAATGTAACCGTTAATAACATTACATCAATAAGCAAGTTCTAGATAAAGGAAGTCGGGGTATATTTTACAAATTAATAATGGATATAAACACGCAATTTCATCAACCAAAGGAACAAAGAAATTTCACAAATGATTTGTTGTTTTTCCTGCAAAACATCAAATTTCACACAACCTCTGAAGCAATAAATTATATATTACTAAAAATATTTTCTTTAATTGTGTCTGATATCAATGATTTTGTTTAATTCCAACTTCAAACTTACACTTCCCATCAAACAACCATGAACATGTAACTAGTTTAATTACAACTTCAAACTTACACTTCCCATCAAACAACCATGAACATGTAACTAGTTTAATTACAACTTCAAACTTACACTTCTCATCAAACAACCATGAACATGTAACTAGTTTAATTCCAGCCTCAAACTTACACTTCCCATCAAACAACCATGAACATGTAACTAGTTTAATTCCAGCTTCAAACTTACACTTCCCATCAAACAACCATGAACATGTAACTAGTTTAGTTACAGCTTCAAACTTACACCTCCCATCAAACAATCATGAACATGTAACTAGTTTAATTACAACTTCAAACTTACTGAGTAAAAAACAAAAAACTTTGACTTTTGTGATTACTCGTGAATTGTGAACACTTTCTGTATACACATCTAGGCTCATTTAATCAACATCAACAGAAGTTGGCCTGTTATATTGTAAAAAAATATATATAAAAATTGTTTAAAGTTTCCTAGTTCCTGAAAGTTTGCAATTTCCAGTAACTACAAAGGTTTTACTGGGATCAGTTAATTTAGCTCAAAATTTTCTACATAATATGCTTTAATTATGTACACAAAATAATATATTTGTTTACAACCAAAACGACAGCATGAATTGAGTAAAAGAAATAACAAGCTCTCCAACGTTATAAATTAAACATCAGTCTAGAAAAATGTCACACTATAAAAAAAAAGGAATGTAACAACAAAATGTACACCAACCCTAAGTGAACTAACTGTACATATATACGTATTATTCACACACACATACATACATATCTCATAGAAATCTACATAAAAAAACGTATGTAAAAAGCTAGTTAAAAATTCCTTAAGATTATTTCAGTCAGATCTATCTATCTGTGGATACAGTCTGTTAGTTAGACCTTTATCAATATACGAACATCAAATTAGGTTTTCATCAACACCAGTTTTTCATTATCATTAACCAATCACATTCTTATATAATGATCATCACAATCTTCCTTATTGCCAATTAAACGGTCGTTGTCACCGGTACAGCCGGTATCGAGTCTCGGCCGCTACTAACGCAGGATTAGTCCTTCTCAGGACAGCAGCTGAAGCATAGGATAAAACTAGACCTAGGCTACTAACCAACGATAAACATCACATATTCTATAATGTATACCTTTATTATCTAGAATAACCAATCATTCACTTCTTTGTGTCACTTCTCACACATCCTTATTGCAAATAAATAACCATTATACCTACACTAACCCACGTTACGTTCAGAATTCACTTCTACCAAATTTCTACTTTAAAAACTGAACATTTTTGAAAGAGCATCTAACACAGTGACTAACCATTCTCTCACTTCAGCCCCATCCAAAATTATTCTAATCAACTCTTAGATCTGGAAACTTTTTTTTTTTTACTCCCTCAAAACTTAAGTATCCAGACATAAAGGAAACATCCGATTGAAGAAAATTAATACATATTTGGACTTTTAATACATATTTACTTCACATAAACCTCTCACATCCAACTGGACTTTAATA